ATGTATAATCCCTATTCACAATATTTTTGACCGATTTATTCCATTTATATATAAAATATCAAATTGGCATAATTCTTATAAATATTTAGCTGTAATTTTACTAAACTGCAAATATAATATTTAAAATCACTAAAATTTGACTATAATTGGATATAAAACAATTTTTATTTAAATTTAATTTTTTTAAAAATAATTTACTGTAAATTTTATTTTATTTTTTTTTATAATTATTTTATTATAATTAATTACAAAAGATAAAATATTATTTTATAATTTGATATAGTATATACCAAATTGTTGCCAAGTGGTATTATGCCAAATAGTTATATCTGAATGTTTGATGAGTAGTAGCATACCAAATAACATTATTTTGACTAGTATGTTTTATAGACTTTACTATTGGGAGGCCTTGATGAGAGGTAAAAATCATGGACTACTCTAAATGATCAAAAATCAGAATTTAAGATATTGTAATAGATAGCCTAATAATCAGAATACTCTTAATAAAATTGTTTTGGGAAAAATTAAGACAGATTTGTATATCTTTCTGAAAATAAAATGGTATCTTATAAACCATTCAGGTTTAGGTAGTAATTATATATAGTATTAAGTTAGATAATATATAGCTAGTCATATATAGATAAGTTAATTATAAACATATATATATAATACTTGTTGGATATATATGGTATTGCCTTAAAAAGTTTAGTAGAAATTAGCATAGTATTTGAATTTTGATATTACTGTAATATCTCATATACTGAAAACATATATTTCAATAAAAGATGTGATACAATAACCAATTAATCAAAAAATCAGATATAGTTAATTAAACATATTCGTAAGTACTTAATTAATAACAAAATATAAAATAATAAATAGAAATACAATACAAACTTCAATTATTTAATTAAAAACTATTATATATAAGCTAATGAAGCCTTGGCATATTAGCTCAAGCCTCTGTTCTTGAACAAGTTGATAGCAACAAGCCAATATATAAGTTACTTAGATATAGCTTTATTTACATATAGTAGACTATGTACAATATACAAAAATATGATATGTATAAAGTATTAAAAAGTTAATAAAGCAAGGCCCAGCTGATATTTAAAAATAAAATTAAATAAATAAAATTAAAAATTAATTAATTAGTTTAAAATTAATTAAAAATTATTTTTTACTTAGTTTTGATTTTATTTTACAAATCAATAAATCAAAACTATTATATATAATTTATTTGTTTATTATTATAAGAAGTAAATTAATACTTTAAAAAAATTTTTTTTTTGTTTATCAATTAATTATAATAATATATTAATAAAAGTCTATTAAGTAAATCCATTTTTTATATTATTATTATTATATATTCAAATTTTTATTTTATTTTATTAGTATTTATTTAATTATGACTATAAATGTAAATTAAAAATTTGTTCAAAAACTTTTTAGACAAACTGTAATTAATCAAGATTTATTTTAAGTTTTTTGTATAATTAGATAAATTAACTAAAAAAAATTAAAAAAAAAAATGTATATATAAACTTATTTTTGTTATATTTTCTTGATAATTTTTAATTAGACTAAAAAATATCTAATTAAAATTAATTATTTGTTTTTTAATTCAAGTAAAATTTTACTAGTAGATTATTTATTATAATCAAATGAATTCAATTATAAGATATCAAATATAATATCTAACTTAATACTATTCTACTATACGATAAGATTTAACCAGTTTAAAAAACAAATTCTCAATAAATTAAACGTACCGACTAAAGTTCGAAATACAATATTTTGATATTATTTTTGTAGGAGTATACATCTTTTTTAACAATCTTTAATATTACTGAGCTGTTCCTTCAAAAACTAAAGCAATCTATATGAAGATCTAAGTGTATACATGCCCAAAAATAATATTTGGAATAATAAATCGGACTCTATTAAGGATTTTTTAACAAATATTCTAAGAGAGAAATAAAACCAGTTAATGGTTATATTTATGATGGATATGTTCTAAATAACAATATTTAAAAATAAATGATAGTACCTTCACAAAGACTTCCTAAGCAATCCATACATTCGGTGTCAGTTTTTTTGCAACCACAACCACATAATACCACGCCATCTTCGTCAACAATAGTAGTACGTTCAGGCCGCGTAATCCCGGGATTGATAGGAAGCGAACAACAATTTTTTACAGACGAAGGGGTAATTGCTACCTGGGTAGTAACGCGTTTTTGCGAATTACATCCGTCACAGCTACATTCAGTGCTACAACTGCATAAAGACGCAGATGCACCACAACAACTACCATTTTCCGCGGCAGATGAACAACTTTGAAAAGGATGGTATATGATCTTAGCCAAATCATCAGACGATGCATTACATAATTGTTCTCCTAAAACTTTTGATTGATCTCTTGATATATCTGCTAGACCATCAGAACTATTATTCAATATTACATTCTCATTATGCACAAGAGAAGTAAAACCTTCTGAAGTTGAATTGAATGATGCCATTAACGGAGCCTCATTACCAAGAAGTCCTTTCCACGAGGGCAGAACAGTACTATGTTTACTACCATTAATGTCTCTTTCCTGATCATGATTCAGGGGCCGATTTTGTTCATAAGGTGGTGGCATTGGAGGTAAATATGATGAAAATTTGTCACTAATGTTACCATTGAGTGTGTTGTGATTATCCATAGAGTGATTACTAGTTTCATGAATCTCAGTCGGACGACGGCAAATACATTCCATGCCTGATACACTTTGACACGGATTTAACAATGCCGCAACTACATAAAAACCAAAAATTAATAATTTGATATCTAGGTTACATATGATAGTAAAAAACATTTAATTATATATTTCACCTGTACTCTGCTTATTATAATTAATATCCTCTCTGCGATCACAGTCCTGAGACTGGTTTTGCTCATAAGATAATGATATCGAAGATAAATATGAAATACTACTACTAATGTTGTTGTTTGGTATGGTGCTATTATTAACAGGGTCATCGGAAATCTCGATCGGACGACGACAACACCCTACATCTGTTGTACATTGACACGGATTCAACAATGACGCAACTGTATAAAAAACTTAATAAATAAAATTGTCCCTTATGCTACATATAAAAATAAAAAATATTAATTAAATAATTTACTTGTAGTATGACTACCACTAGTGTCTTTTCCGTAATCACTGTCTTGCTTCTTGTTTTTCTCATTAGATAATGGCGTCGAAGACGTGTATGAAATATAACTACTAATATTGTTATTAGGTATGCAGCAACTATCCACAGGGTGATTATCAGTTTCGCTAATCTCAGTCGGACGGCAACAAATACATTCTGCGCCTTTTGTACATTGACACGGATTCAATAGCGCCGAAACTAAATAAAAAATCTGATTTAATTATGTAATCTCTATGCTACACAGAATAGTCAAAATAAAATTCAATTTATTTCACCTGAGGTTTTATCGTTTATTACTAGATTGATATTAAAACATATGGGATCATGCCGATGTATGTTTTTGAAAGGGATTAAAATAGAAAGACAGAAACCTAATTACCCCCTGCCTCTCTTTCGAGACAATTGCATTTTGCATGCACCTTTTTAGTTCTACGAAGTTCCCGACAATGTGTACATTGAGTTATCGGTCGCCCTTTTTTTTTTATTTCGAATAAATGACGTTCAGTGTGTTTGCACGTAGAAGAACGATGTCCCTTAATGCAGGTTGAACTAAAAAAGTATTCTTGAATTTTAACGGCTTGTGCTCAAGCATCCATTAAGTAATTTCTCTAGCAAATTTAACTAAAAAAAAAGGTAAAAGACCTTACCATGCGTATTTTACACCATCTATAAATACCATGTTATGAAGAAAAGAACAAAAAAATAATTTTGATAAATCAATGATTTTACCTAATTTAAATTAAACCAATTTAATACTCTGTATTACCTGAATTTCTAATTCATGTTTAATAAAGTTTATTACGACCGATTGTTCTAGAATTTTTAATTATAATTAATATAAAAATTTTTTTTTGAAACCCTGGAGTCATTTATTTATTAAATCATAGTGAACCATTACAATAACAATTGTATGTATAAATCTTTTCAATCCAACTTATCCATCTACAATATTGTCTCTAGATATAATTTATGGAAATAATATGTTGCTCATCTATTAATTGAAATTAAGATTTCTTTTGCTTAATAGAATTATAATCTGCAGATTATCTTTACAAATTATATATTATACAGTTAGGGATATTACCTAATTTGAAAGGGAAATCTAAAATAATCTATGAGAAATTCTTGGAATTTGATTGGTTATCACTTATCTTTTAATTTTTTTATTTTTAACAAAACTACTTATTGTCAACAATCTATTTAAATAGTTAGTAAAAAATGTCTAGTTTTCATAATCACAAATAATCACTCGCAGTTAATACTATATAAAAAGTAAATAAAACTAAAATTTCTTGATCTTACAGTATAAATTAAAACATAATTCCTTAACTGAAAATATTTTAAATAAAAATTTTTTAGTATCTACTTATTTGAAACTAAAAGCAAAAAATCTATCATGTTTATTTGTAAAATTAGTTGAGAAATATAGTAAAGCTGGATTAAAGTCATGTGAAACAAAGAAATCACAAAAATGGCAGCATACTAGTAATCAGAAAATAGTTAAATAATTTACAATTTATTATAATTATTTTTCTAGACTTTCTAATTTTCATTCTTTCTTAAATTCTTATTCAATTTGCAAGAAACATTATAATTAGATTATTGTTGCTAATCAATTTTACCAATATTTTATAAGTTCTGTACAGGAAAATAAGAGGTTCTGTTTTGATGAAAATAATATAAATGCTTTTATAAATCATTCCGATCTAATTATTGAACTTGATAAGATTAAACAACTTCTAAAGCTTAATCAACAGAAAATTCAACAAAAATTATAATCAATAATAGATCTTAATAATCAAATTGTACAAATACAACAATAGATAAAAAATCAAAAGATCAAAATTGAAGAATTAAAAAAACAATATAAAAGGCTTATAAAGATATAGTCAATATTTATAATTTATATGATAATCAATGTAAAAAAAATGAAATTCTTATTGTGCAGCAAAATTCATGATTTGCGAATCAGCAAGAATGTATTGAAGCAATCATTAAAATAGCAAAAGCAAAACGTGAATCTTTATTTGAAGATGTTAAATCACTAATCAAAGATAATGAAATATTTTCTATAAAAAGTTTTATGACATACACTTCACAAGAATGGCTCAATAAGCATAATCAAATTGTTGTTAAATTTATCGAAACTCTGATTTATAACAATCGAAATATCAGTACTTTGAGCCAGGAAAAGATTTTTAAAACTGCTGTTGCAATTGATACAATATTTGGAGCATGACATGGGAAATATATGTTGGAAATTCAGCTTGTAGCCTTAGCTATCAAATATTCAATTGCATGATTGAAGATAATTATAAATATTGATAATTATATAACAAGTTCGAAAGGCTATTGTCAATTTTAAAAGTGGTTAGAAAAGTTATCAGAGCAACAAGAACTATTACCTGAAGGCCTTTTGTTTCTTGCTTTTAACAATAAACAAAGAGGACAAAAAAATTATCTTGATCGTAAATCTAATATAATTATTTTCCATATTGTCACCAGTTTTGTTGTTTTCAATATGACATCAAAAAATAAAAATTCAACATACTAATTCACCTTGGATATTTAATTCTTTAAACAGGTTATAGTATAAAAAACTTTTTGATATCAATCCTCAAATACAAAATGTTCTCGATAAAGAATTATATGATTTTTTTTTTGAGATTTTTAGTTTATTATCTGAAGAAAAATCATCTGTTACTAATATTATTAATTTTTTAGTTACATCTATAGAAACCAACATTACTAGTATGAAACAGTATCCAAATTGTCATCAAAAAAATATCGAGAATCGAAAACAGACATATCCAAAATGCAAAATATGACTGTTTATGTTAGTGGAAATTAAAAAAGAAAAAGAAATTAATATTGAAGAAACAATTAATTGCTCAGCAATATTAACAATGTCACTTATCTTTAAGCCTTATATCTTTGGTGATGAATCAAATACTATATCCACTTCCTAAATTAGTCTCACTCAATGACCAGCTAATTATAGAGTTAATGTTCCAGAGATCTATATTCCCGATCCAATTAATTTAAATCCCAACTCAATTGCAAATGTTGAAAAAGTTCTCTTTTATATTGAAACAATATCAAGTATTAAGGATAAAGCTTGTAAATAGATTGCCGTAACCTGTAATGGTGTCCCGTACTATTATACTATCAAGTTAAAAAAAAAATTCCCTTGGTTGATTTTAATACCAGGACAATTGCATGAGAAAATGAATATGCTTCGGGCATACATCACCAATATTTGTATAGGGATTACTATCGATTTTTATCAGCTATTGGATAGTAATCGATTTAAATCCCCC